AGCGAAAGCCCAATGAAAAAGAAAGTTGGAAGTTTTTCACAAAACCGCTACACGATAGAGAGAATTGATAAGAAACTCGGGCAACAGTACTACCATGTGGAAGGGAACGAAAGAGCATACTTAAGGCACGAGTTGTTAAAGGTTTGATTGACGCCGTGCTCTTTGTATGTTGAGCGTTGCTTGTGTTCCTGTTGTTGAGTTTTGTTCATGCGCGGCTTCAAACATTATTGATTTCTGTAGCCTTCAAGTACAAGTCGTGGGCTTCGCCTTCGGTTTATATGTTGGCTCTAGGGCTTCAGCGGAAACCTTCCCAGCCTACATCATCATAAATTCCGACAAGAATGGGTTGAGCCTTCAGTGCGGTTGAGGGTTCTATCTCACCTAGGCGATAAATCTCGACAGAATGTAAGGACATTCCTACGCGAACGAAGCTGGCATTCCTACAAGAAGCCTTGTGAATTCAGCAGGGACGCGTGCCGGACGATGACTCTTGAAATGTCAGCCTCGTCGAAAAACCCTTCTAAGCCAAGCCCATAGGTTTGGACTTTGCGACCTCAACAACTCTATCGCGGCACTCGCATGGAAATCAGATGCGAATTGATACCTCTTTTGGGTCGGATGCCAAACTACTGCGTGTGCCCCTCTCTCACGTATCAGTCCGGCGACCATTTGGGGACGATGCCCTTTCCTGCAGAGTTTCGAGCAGCGCCGTCACCTGCACGTTGCTTGCTGTTTGCCAGCTCGGCCGATGGGAATTATGCGGCCACCAGCAACCTCGACCTCCAAGTCGAGGAAATCCCGCACCTCCATCTCCGCAGTGGCTTCTGTCTCCTGCTTCAACTCCTGCAGCGTCTTGCCAGCGACCATGTCCTTGCACGATTCTGTCAAATCGCCAACGCGAGAGCCACCTGACACGACAGGGAGTGCCCTTGCAAAACAACACAATTGAGCAAATAGCATCAACACAAAAAAGCAACCTGACTACACGCGCGACCGAAGCACAGGCATCGATGATGTCTTGAGCATTCTCTTCGTGACCGTGCAGGGTGAGCACCTTCTTCGCCTCCTCTGCCGTCAGTTCATCTATCCAAATGTCTTTCTGACGATTTGCACCACCGGCGTCGAACGCCAGTGCAGCCGCAGCGGATGAGGCAGAAATGATGACCTTGCAAGAACCCCTGAAACCCAGTCCCGAAGAAACGGCAACACACTTACTTATCAACTGAGGACCTTATTCTGGAACGGTTATACAGCTCTTGTTTTAAGTTCCCAGCGCGCGCTGCTTTGCCCCCTTCCGTGGATAAATCCTTCGTTGTCGAAGAAATGGTGTCCATACCTGCGCGAACAGAGCAGGGTAAGGCTTAGTGAGCTTGAGGGGCAATTGTGGTCAAGTTTTGTCCCCTGCCTTTGGTTGTGGCGCGTGGGACTTCAAACAGTATGATTGGTGTCTTGGTGATGGGGTCAGCCAACTTCGCCAACTCTGCTTTCACACGGACAAGGACAGCCTCAAACATGCCAGGTCCATCAACCTGAAGGCTCTTGTATAGCCGCTCTTCCCAGTGCTCATCCTTCACCGTATGCTTGAAGATTCCCCGCGCACCACGAAGGACTTCCTCCACCGCAACGGTCTTGCCAGTCCGGAAGCGGCCGCTGACTATGGTGGCATGCTCGTCCCATGTCTTGACCCTGTTGGCGATGGTGTCCATGACCTTCCTGTGGATGACCTTGCGCTTGGGCATCTTTGGGACGAAAGGGTCCATGAACTTGGCGACTGCACGTTGGACCTTATACTCATCGGACTGCTTGAGCGCCTCTGCCTGTCGTTTTGCCTCTGCCGTCTGTTGTTTTGCCTCTGCTGTGGCTCGTTC